CTTATACGTGAGTTTTTGTTTTGTGGGGCTTTTGTTTGTTTGTTTGTTTGTTTTCAGTAAATGTCTGTACAGTTTTTGACACATGAGGGGTCCATGGAAGTGGAGGGCCTACTGTATATGCTGACCTAGGAGACTTGAGCAACCTCAGATTTGGCATCTGTGGAGGTCCTGGAACCAATCCCTCATGGACACTGAGGGACGGCTACACTTATGAGAAGTCAAAAGCTATATGCAGATTTTCAGCTGGGGCGTCAGCACCTCTAACCCCCATGTTGTTTAAGAGTCTTAGAACGAGCAGTGTTTCTCCCCCCCCCCCCCAAGGCATTGTCTTAACTGAATTACAGTATCAACTCGGGCAAGTAATATGATCTTCAAATTAGAACTCTCCCCAGGAAAATAGGAAGTGGGGTCACTGATTCCCTTTAGGACCCGGCTCCCTCGCTCATGGACCTTGAGCCTGAGTCTTCAGACAGCTTTCTGGTGTTACGCAATTGCTCTTGTTAAGAGCCGCATAAAACAGAAACCTTGACTATTCATAGCTATCTTATGAGGAGCTGAAATCTTTTTAGAGGTTTCTTACCATTTTGATGGTAACCATGTGTTTCTGAACACATCCACTTATTCTGGCTTTCAGTTAAGGATTTTCTTCTCAATAAACATGTAGATCTACCTTCAATCAGTTTGGTACATGATACAGATTGGTTTTACAGCTTTTAATGAGCTGAACTAGACATTTCTAAGCACAGCAGTGCACAGAGGTCACAGTGCAACAAATATCTTAAGGTGAAATAAGGTCTTTTGATAGAACTACCTCTGCATGAACAAATAGATAAAAATTTGAAAAGGTTTCTGTATGCCTTCTGGATTAAAAAAACAAATTCTTAATGGCTCCAGACACTAAGCTGCTGAAGGACGGAGGGGAAAGGCCGAGAGTTTAGCGGCAAGAGCTCTTCTCGCAAAATCCAATTAATTTGGCATCACGTGACTTTGTTGTTAGAGCAGTATTCGAAATTACAGAAGATGAGATGCTTCATCAGCTGCATTTCACCAGAATTGCTCTGTGTGTTGCCATGATGTGTGACAGGTATTCGTATGTAGCTAAATGACATCAGTTACGGATGGGTCTGTCACAGCACTGTCTCCTGGCTTTTGTTTCCACTCTCTGTGGTGACTATTTCAGACATAGAGAAGCATTCCTGGTGTTCAGTCTGAATACTGTCTCGGGTTCTTTGGTGGTAAAAGTGCAAGGGCAGAGAAACTCGTGCGTGGAGTCCTGTGCAGTGCTGCCCCGCAGTGAGGCGGATCTATGTCACGGGGCTGCTAATGGCTGTTCCCTGCCATTAGTGAAGGGGGAGTGAGGCAGATGCGGAGGGCTGGGGAGAAGCAGAGGGCGCAGCAGGGACAGGCGGCTCAGAGGTAGGATTCCTGGATAAATGGCATTGTCCCCGTCGGGTTGGGGTGGGCAGGGGAGGCTGCTGGAGGTGGCTTGCCTGCCCCTGGAAACTGTCACTTCTCAGGCACACTGTATGGCAGATAGCATTGCAGCCATTTCTAAAGCTGGTCACTGGCAGGAAAAGCACACTTAATCTAGCTGGGAGGCCTCTGAAGGGTGGCTCTGTCTTCTGCTCCCTGTGAGGTCACTGGCACTGTTACTGCAGACAGCATGGAGAAGGCATTGCACTCTGGAATTCTAATTCTAGAAACCGCTTCTCTTTCCCCCTTCATATTCCTCTTTATCTCTCTCTCCCTATCCCCTCTCTCTCATCTTTCTCTCTCCTCTTTTCTATCTCAAAAGTGTTGCTACCATATTTTATCATATATTCATAGATATAGTTTCCCAGATGCAGTATGCAGTGGTAGTGGGTACAGATTATAAACCAAACAGATAAATATTGAATAAACTACATTAGTTCAGTTTTATTCTTCCCTCGTGGCAATTTTAAACTTTCCCAAATTAAATTAAAATGAATGGCTATTGAGGAATGAGAGATACATTGTTAGGCATTTCTATGCTCACACAGGAGACCGGCCTCCAGGGGTGGCACACGGACCATCCTCTGCCATTAGGGAGGCAGAGAATGGTAAAATCAAGGGAAGAGTTTGCAAAGCCCTGCGATTTGAACCAAAACAAAGCATACCTCACTCCCCCTGCACAGCTTCCTCCTACCGAACAGCAGCTGAACAGATTCCATTTCACAAATGGAAATGGGATGCAAACAAATTTTTTCAAAGCGATATCATGAAGAGCGGGCCTACTTAATTGGGTTTTCTGAGCCAGGATTAATATTATAAGCGGGGGAGCGATGTGATGCGGCTGCGTCGTTGAAAGCCAGCCACCTGCCTCGTGGGGGAAGGAGAAAAGTGCCCCTATTCAGAGGCAATTCTGCTTCCACCTCAGCCCTCTCTCTCTGAAGTGACTTACAGCCAGCCCAGGCCGAGGGCGTAATCGGAGTTCCATGTCATGGAGGAAAGCTCTTCCCAAGCTCAAGGTCACATCTAGAGCAGGCCTTGAATATTCCTTTCATCTCTAATTTATGTGGCTTTCTAATATGTTGAACATTTGCACTCCCCCGGTCTCCATCCTGCTCATTAAGGTAAATTTGCATGGAAATGGGATCTTGGTTTTCAGGACCATTCACCTGACACTTGATCTCCTGAAGTGGCCAGTGTCCACTGTTGATACCATGAGGGTGACCCTCAGACACCACATCTTAACGTGGTGCCAACTAGAGGCAAGGCCTAATTAGGGGAAGCTTTGGATGTTAAAGTAATGGAGTGAATCAAACCATCAAAGGCATTTAGCTCTCACTGTGGAGGGCAGAATAGGCCTTCCCGTTGAGTAGGTCATCCTAGGTCACAAGAATTTTAATGTGCCTTAAATAGACAGATCTTGAAGAAAGTGTACAAAGAGTATACTTTTTCCTTGCGCTTTCAGAATCATTTTGATGTGTGATAGGGCTCAGACAGCAGTGACATTTTACTTTGGCTCCTGAAATATGTCTTGCTTAATATCTTTCTTTGGGATGGGTAATATTCATCTCTACAAATTACCTTTGGACGGCCAAGCAAATGTGGCAAATCAAAGAGATGAGTCCCTTGCTGTCACCACTACACAGGTCTCCTCTGCTACTAGGAGGGTCAGTATTTTAACTAAATTCAGAAGTAATGGCTCCAATCCCCTGATCTCGGCCACTGCAGCTCCCACCCAGGTGGCCTTTCTTCCTTATTTACCCAAGTCTTGTCACTTAGGCCGAAACCTCCACTAAGGGGACAGTTTGCTGGTCCCAGTTTACTGGTCACCGAAAGTCAATTAAGTTTGAGTGTTACTAACCTAAAGGGTTTCAGATTTGGACAAATTTTGCAAAACATAAAAGCCAAACAACAGCTTTCAAGACTGTCCTGACAGTAAGCCATCTTAGCAGAGGACCAAAGGGTTTGAGGGTCACGGAGAATAATACCAAATTTCAATGAGAAAAGTTCTAGGAGACGGGGGAGATGAGAAGAAACTTGTGCTGCTGTTAGCCAGCTTTCCTTTGCTGAGGAGAAATTCATCCCATCAGATTATTTTAAAACAAAAATGCTACTTAGCTTTACCTTCTAATATAACATTTTGCATCTATTTAGTTTAATTGCACCCTCTTACTATCGTGTTTCCCCGAAAATAAGACACCCTCCGAAAATAAGACCTAGCACGTAGAAAGATAAGACCTCCCCTGAAAATAAGACCTAGCGTAACGTTGGGAGAAAAAATTAATATAAGACACTGTCTTATTTTCGGGGAAACAGGGTAGTTGAATATTATGACCCCATTTTACAGACGAGGAAACTGAGACTCCAAGAAGCTAGTTACTTGCAACCATTCACCAACAAAATCAGGTCTCAGCTCCCTATTACATCCCCACTGTCTCCTAGAACAAAAAACAAAAACAAAAACCTCTATTTCATTTGTAGGCTGACCTATTTCTCTTTACACAGGTTTCATCTGTTACGAAGAGGGGTCAATATTTTAACTCAACTCAGAAGTACTAAAATGAAAATTTTCCAAATGTACTTGGCTTACACAATATTAATAACATAAATTAGGAAGCTGACTAATCGAGTCTCCCAACTCTAAAACCAGAAAGCTTTCTATTCTCAAACATACAGAAGGACCTGACGGTCCCCACTGGCCAGCACTGTCTAATTCTCTTAAATGATTCAGATGTAAAGATGCCATGGCATCTGTCTAATTCACACCACCTGGTAAGATATAGCTGCCAAGGGTCGCCTCGGACAACATAGAGAATCCATCCCAATATTGGCAGCAAAAGAGAGGCAGGAAATTAGAAGCTAGATTGAGAAATGTAGTTGAAGGAAGTGTGTGTTTTTTTCCTTTTAACTTTTCTGGAGAATAGGGAAATTTTAAACAAGATATTAAGCTCTATTTGCAATGAGAGATGAGTCGTATGTTCACAATACCCATGGGTAGGGGAGAGATTGCTCAACAGGTGGCAGACCCTTCTGTGGCTTTGATAAGATCCCAAAGCATTGAAGGTCACCTTTTTCTGAGTCAGCAGTCAAAGGGCATTTTGACCTTGAAAAGCTCTAACACTGAAGGCACATTTAAAGACTGTGTTTAAAGAAAAGTCTTTCAGGCCCTCAGGCCTCAGGTTAGAGATGATCACAACTCTCCTTTCCTGTGAACCAAAAATGGAGATGCCCAGAAATGGTGACAGGCTGGGCCGGGCCAGGCAAAGGGAGATGAAGAGAGAGTCAGTCTCTGGCTTTCACTTCCTGCTCCTGGCATCCAGGGATTCAGAGAGTGATGCCAGGAAGCAGGCCCCAAGGGCTCCAGCAGGACTCCTCTCAAAAACAAGTCTCCACAGTACGCCTGCGCCTCGCCCTCCAGCCTGGACAGTGGACCACTCGCCTACCCACTGCTCAGACTGCTACCCAGCACCGTGTGCACTGCTGTCCTTCTCCCGGCAGAAGGCACAATGACCACGTTCCTTTTCTTCCAGCTCCTCCCAACATGGAAGCCATCGCCAAGTTTGATTTCGCCGCCTCGGGCGAGGATGAGCTGAGCTTTCGTGCTGGAGACACACTGAAGGTAGGTGATTGGAGGCCCAGGGGCGCCCTGGGGAGTTCAGGTTACTCCTGTCCGGCCACTGACCTAAAATAACTATGCGTACCTTTGTCTCTAAAGAATCGCACATGGTTCCTTTCCAAAATAGACGTTCACCTCAATCAAAAGGGTTCCTTCTGAGCACCTGGGTGCCAGCTACCAGCCCAGGGGATAGAAGTGCGGTTGACATAAGACATCATCCTTGTCCTGAGATGCCTGTTGTCTCTGGAGGGGAAACCAATCCATCGAAGGGCTGTTGTAGATGCTCTTACCCAAGAGCTCGGGGAGCACAGGTGAGGGAGGAAGTGGTCCCACCGTGAAAGGTGGTTTGTAGCCACTGTGGCAACATCAGGTGTGAGGATGTCATGAAGGTGAGTTGGGCTGTTCGCTGAGGCTCCGAAAGGAGCAAGCCCATGTGGGGTTCTGTGCACATTGTGAGACTCAGCGGGCTGGGGCTACAAGATGAGGGTGTAGGCGGAAATAGGACTCAACCAAGGCCACGCACACCCAGCCTGCACTGGAGCTGTAGCGGCCACTCGCAAAGCTGAAGGGGCCTTGGACCTCTTCCAAATGTCACGCCTCACACTGGCAGACTGTGCATCTTAGCCCCTGTTGTGTGCAAAAGAGTAAAGGTGGTCTTCAGAGGCCGCTGGGGAGTCTGAGGTGCCAGTATCCCCCTGCCTGGCCTCGGAGCGCCTCGGCTGTTGATCTGGCTCCCAGCAGCACAGAGGCCACCATGGTCTCACCGCTAAGATCATGCTTGTTATGGAAAGACACGTGTCGGTACAGGAGAGGTGACTCAGAAAGTGTCTGTGGAGCATGAGCCAGGTAGGATGACTTGGTTTGGAACTTGAACACCCCCAATATTTGTCCTTCTGGCTGTTCTCACCTTGCAAGTAAGGTGGTTGCAAAAAAATGTGCCTTCGATGTTAGAGCTTTTCAAGGTTAAAATGCCCTTTGACTGCTGACTCAGGAAAAAGCGACCTTCAATTCTTTGGGATCTTATCAAGGTCACAGAAGGGTCTGCCACCTGGTGAGCAATCTTTCCCTTACCCATGGGTATGGTGAACATATGACTCATCTCTCACTGCAAATAGAGCTTAATATCTTGTTTAAAAGTTCCCTATTCTCCAGGAAAGTTAAAAGGAAAAAAACACACACTTCCCTTAACTCCGTTTCTCAATCCAGCTTCCAATTTTTTACCTCTCTTTTGCTGGCAATACTGGGATGGATTATCTATGCTGGTGCTTCTACTCCCATTCATTCCACGGAAACCCTGGAATCTGACTTTCACCCCCAACACTTTCTTAAAATCCACCAGCGATGTCCTTTTATAGGATATAATGATCCTACTAAGATGCCTGTGGGGTGTGACACTGCTAACTCCCTCTCCCGGATCTGAATAGAGTTCTGTCTGACTTGCAAGCACTGTCCTCTGCTCTGAATACTTTTCTTCGATGGTATTTCTCAAGCAATCCCTTTCTTTGCTAGAGAGGAGCCGATGCAGTCAAAAGGAGCATGGGCTTTGGACACAGATAAATCTGCTTTTGAATCCAGCTTACTAGCTGTGCGGCCTGGCCAGTCACTTGCCCTCTGAGACTCAGTGTCTTCTCTAGGTGGACGCCATATCTGTTCTGCAGGGTTGTGGGACAGATTAGAGGTAATGGTCCCATCCCAAAGCGGATGCTCACTGAGTGGCCACTGTATTATTCATATTACTCATTCCTGCTGCCTCTGCCTGTTCAGACTATGGCCACAGCCCCCTGACTGACCTCATCACCTCCTGTATCTTCCTCCTTCCATCAACCTCTATGCTAGTCCTGGAGGGATCTTTCTGGAAGACAGATCAGATCATGTCACTTCCTTATTCAAAAGCATTCATTGGTCCCCCATTACCAATTGATTGAAATCTAAGCCGTCTGTCCCCAGCTTCATCATGCTCACACACACACACACACACACACACATACACACACACACACACACACGCGCGCACACATCTCTGTGTGCTAATGCCTCTCCTCCCCCTGCGCAGGACACACTACACACCACTCTCTCTCATGCTCTCCCCATCCTCCAAATGCCCTTCTCCTGCACACACACACTTGACCACTCTGCCCCAGAACCCTCACCAATCCTCCCGCTTCCTACTGCCCTGGAAAATTACCAATGGTAAGTACTCCCTCTTCAGCGATTCCACAGCATTTCCCAGGCACTTTATTCAAGGCATTTATGTCCTGCCTACATGACAGTTATTTATGGGCAGGCCGAGCGCCCGTGCTCTGATGTGCCTGTACCTGCACCTCGGGTTGCTGTCCTTGCCCCATGGGATCTGATGGCCATTTGTGTGTTGGCCACAGAACAAAGCTCCGTGAGGGCGGGGGCTGGGTCTGCCTCAGCGTTCAGAACAACAGAAAGGTGACCCTCCCTAGTAGGTGGAAAGTGAATGAATGGTTGACCCCTCCCCGGGTCTGTGAGCTCACTGGGAGCAGAGCCATGCCGTCTTTGCATCTTCCCAGCATCGAATACAAATCACGGCCCCAAACAGGTGCTCTTGAATGGCTGGATTGCGTTTCTGCAGGCTCGTGTGGAACTCCATCAGAAGGTCAGATTCCTCTTTCTTTTTAAACTCTGCCCATTGCAGCTGTGCAGTGAAGAGAAAAGCAGCGGGGCTTTCTCGCCGAGCTTCTCAGCGTGTCTGCCGCGCGGGGGTGAGGGGCCCTGCCTGTGGGACCCTCTGCATATGGCCGCAAAGCCTGTCCCTTCTCCCCGGAGCCGAGTAACGCCTGGGAGCCTCACCATTGTTTTCAAAGCCATTTCTGGACAGACTCTGCAGCTCCCTCCTGGGATGCTCTTTTGTGTTTGGCCTTTAGAGCTAAATAAAAGGCTAAACAGACTTTTGCATTAGAGGGTACAAAAAAGGCCTGCCCAGCTCGCCACCAAGCCACCCCCTCCAGCCTGTGAGTCCCGGGGGGGGGGGGGGGGGCGCGAAGGCCCCAGCTTATTCACCTCTGCATTCCCAGCACCTCCGTGCAAACAGCAGGTGCCCACTAGATGCTGGTGGCAGAATGGTGAACAGAGAACTCCTGCCAGGTGGCCTGAGCCCGCTTCTGCTGTGAGAGCAGCATTTGAAAAGCTGGGCGCCAGGTGTTTTGTATTTGTGTCAAACCTCGGACCTGCAGCTACACAGCGCCAGTTGAACTTGTCAGTATGTCTGTCTGTTCTGTAGCACATCTAATCCGACCCCAATTCTTCCTACTAAAACAGCCGCCTAAAAGCACTAATTTGATCCGGCGTCATTTACTTCAGTATTTCACATTTCTGCACTGCCTCTAAGAGCAGGAATTCCATCCAATTGTAAAATTCTCCCAACCGTACAACTCGTCCTCTTCCCAGTGTCAGGCCATGGAGCCAGCAGCGTGTCCTGTGGGCAGCGTCATGAGAATGAAGACACAGTGAGTGGGGCATCGGACCTCCCGTGCTCAGGCCGAACTCCTTGCTCAGGCTTCGGTGACGGGGACAGAGATGGGGGGTGGAGAGATGAGCACAGGAAACCCGGGGCCCCGCCACGGCAGGAGGAAACCACCTCCCCCAAACACTCTTCTTTGCAGAAAATGGATTTTTTTTAAACCTTGTCTTCTAGACACCAAAAACAGGCTGTAAAGTCACCTCCCAGGGACACAGTCTCAGGCAGACCGAACGCCAGGTGGTGGGAGAAGGGGCCGGCATCAGTCGCCGGAGAGGTGGATGGGTGTGAGCCACGATTACTAAAATGACAGCTAGTTTCAGGTCAGAGAACTAAGCACAGAATGTGGTTTCTCCTGCGGAGAGCCAGTTTCCAAATGGCCTCTTTCACCTCATCCCTGCCCACTCTCCTGTTTGGCATTGGCCACGCAGGCCAAACTCCAAATTGCCAGGAGACGGGAGAAGGGAATTCCGGAACCATAGACCCGGGGACACGGCCCGAGTGAACCGTCCTCAAACCGCCCTCGTGCCTGTATGTGGATCCTCCTTCTTCTGGCCTAGTTTTCTGTTCCCCGCCCCCTCCGCATACACACACCACACGTTCCCAGTGACAGCGTAGCCACATTTGGTGTAAGAAACTGTCACATTTTCTTTTCTCAGCAATTCTAGAACTTAGTTATTGGACACTTTTGTTTCTTCATAACAAATGATTAAACTCAAGACATATATACAGAATGCGTTTAAGAACTTACAAAACCCTCTGTGTCCTTCAGAGCTGGAGTCCTCCCTCATAAGAAATCACATTTTACAGAATTATATTTTTGAAAATCAGCACACTCCTTCTGAAGGAAGTCCGGGTACAGGGCTCCACTGATCTTCACATCAAGGCATGAGCCCGGGTTTCCGTCCCCGCATTTCGGATGGTCAGTTGACTTGCCAAAGGTCACGCAGCGAGTGCCGGGCCAAGCTAGAAGCCAGGTCTTCTCATTCCAAACTCAACGTGCTGTCCCCTTCCCTCCACCTCAGGAGGGACAGTAGAAAGAGGCCATCGTCGCTTCTCAATCACTTAGCTCCCTTTCATTCTCTGTTTGTCTCTGGGACAGAGAAATGCAGGGGTCCTATGGCCGCAACTCCACCCACTTTCCGGCGAATCTAGCATCCCGACCCTGCTGCTGAGTCCAGACACGTGTCTCCCACTGCTCCCCGAGCTCTTCTCCTCAGACGTCCCGGAGGCAACCTGGCTCACCCACACGCTGAGGCCCATGTGTTCCCCTCAGACCTGCTCCTCCTCCTGTGTTTTCTATTTTAGTGAGGGCATCACCACCCACTCAGCCTCCCCAGCCAGAAATCCTTCCCAGAATCCCCATTCTCCCTTCGCTCCACAAGCAGTCATGAAATTTTGCTTCCTGATTCCTCTAAAATGTGTCTCAGCTCTTCTTAGGCCAGATCCCTCCCTCTCTCGCCTGGATGTCTGCAGTAGCCTTCCTGCAGTTCCTTCCCCAACTTTCCCCCTCCTCTCATCTCTGCACTCTTTCTTCTCTCTCCTTCTCACTGTGTTATGTCCCTGCTTTAATGGCTCATCCTTCAATGGTTCCCATAAATGTCAAGATAAAAAATTCAAACTGTCAACATGGGCCATGAAGCCGGGTGTCTGGTTTCCCCTCTCCCTATCTCTGGACAACAATCTAAACTCTCACCAGAGTGAGGCATTCACTCCCAGGATGCACTGCACTTTCACATATCCCGGAAGTGGTTCTTTGGACATCAGACTTCTCCTGGGAGCTCCTGTCATTGCTTGGACAGCCCAGATGTCCCCTCCTCCAGATAGCCTTTCCGATCCGCCCTCTGCTCTCCCTTTCATCACAGCACTCCTATCAGTTAACACACTCTCAGCTACAAGAAACAGAAACTAAAAATTGTTAAAGATTTATTAATTCTCATCCAGAGTCCAGAAGTAGGCGGGCTCCTGGGTGGCTGATCCCATGGCTCAATGGCATCATCAGGGTTCTTCCCACCTTCTTTCTCTGCCATCTTCATTTTGAATTATTGTTCATGTCTATGCCACATACTATAGAAACGTTCTCAGAGGGTTGCTGTGGGCAAATACTTGTCTTTTAATGGCAAAACATTTCCTAAAATAACCAAAGGTCACATAGAGCCAAGGCAGGCCAGCCACATGTGTAATCACAGGATGTGATAACATTTGGGATCACAGTCAAGGGAGGACCATGCCATAGTGAGGCAGGACTTCTGGTTTGACCTGTGACCTGGCTCTAACAGCGAGTTTAATTCCCACCAGCAATGTGGGAGTGGTCCAGTTCTCTGCATCCGGGGCAGTCTTGGGTGCTACCTTCGCTTTTTATTTTCGCCATTCTGATAGGTGTGTGGTGATAACTCATTGTCATCTTAATTTGTGTTTCTCTAATGACTAATAATATTGAACACCTTTTCATGTGCTTCCTTGCCATCTGTATATTCTCTTTAATGAAATGGCTGCCTGTCATGTCTTTTGTTCTTTTTTATTTGGATTGTTTGGGCTTTTTTACCATTGTATTTTGAGAAGTCTTTATATAGTCTTGATGCTAAGATATGTATCAAGAATACATGTGATTGCAAATAAAATAAATAAAATAAAAGCAAGTTTTAAAAAGGCATTCTAGATATCTTGACTTATGCCCAAATTGTTTGTGAACCACATGGCGTGTGAACACAAAGAGTTACTGTTCTCAAAGCTGGCCCCACTTGGATATTTATGTTTTAATCTGCTTGTTTCCAAAAGAAAAATAGAGCAAATTAAATTTTTAAAAGGATCCTGGTTACCTGACACAGAAAAAAATTATGGAGCAGTCACTCTTGCCTTCTTACCGTCAGCCCAGACAATGAGCTTAGGTGCTAAGGTCTGGGGCACATGAATTTCCAAACTAGAAAGAGAAAGGGATTCTGGGAAGCCCCTGAGTGCTGAGTCTGGGGGCCACGCCATGGTGGGGGCACCTGTGTAGGTGGCACTCAAGGACAGAAATAGCTGGAGGTAAAGAAAGGCTAAACCCCAAAGATAGCTCTGCGGCTCCCCCTCTAGGGCAGCTGTGAGGTTTCTTTTGTTTATTTTCTCTAAACCTAAAATAAAAGAGCATTCTTCACCCTGCAGCCCCTTTCTTTGCTTCTCGATGTCCTCCCTACAGTGTCTTTGTCCTTCCTTCTCTTCCATGTAGATCTTAAGTAACCAAGAGGAGTGGTTCAAGGCAGAGCTTGGGAGCCAAGAAGGATACGTGCCCAAGAATTTTATAGACATCCAGTTTCCTGAGTAAGTATTTCCAGCCTGCTGAGACGGGCCTACCCACACACACTCCCCTTACTGCTTGGTAGTCACTAAAATTATCCACGCACACCAGGAGGCTGTCAAAAATGGTTGCCTTGAGAGGGAACCACACAGCTGAAGGCCAGGGGTGGGAGGGAGATTTGCATTTCACTGCCTTCTCTTTTGAATTTTATACCACCTGTTTAAAGTTCATAAACTAAAATCATCTATAATTGTAATCACAGGGTTTCCAAGAATTCCACTGGGGGCACTGTTGGCCATTGAACTTCAAGAGCAGCTACTACAAAGCACTCCATTACCTCCCAGCCAGCCAGCCCTCCCTCCCAACCGGGGATCCCAAACAGCTCCGGCCCTAGTCAGGCGCGGACACTCCCTGCCTGCCTTAAACCACGCTCACACCAAAAGGAGAAGTCAGTGGGAGAGAAGGGGAAGTTCCCTTCATAAAGAGGAAATGAAAATTTGAGATTGAATCTCATTTGTCTCAAGAACTGACCACAAGGGTTAGATAGAAAGCTAGTCTTATCTGAGCGGCAGGGACTAGCCAACGAGCAAAGGTTTGCTAGAAAACCAAAGTGGGGAGGTGCAGTGACACTCCTGCGAACCAGTGCTGACCACTGACCTCCAGCCCTCCCCCTCCCCCCAATCTTCTGGTGACATCATGCCTGCCCTGCTCCTCAACCTCCAGCGCCTCCGCCCCCGCACTCTCAGCCCAGGGTCCCTGGGTCAGTGGAAGCCACCAGAAAAGCCCCTCCACGCCACCCGCTCCTGACTCACTGCATCCTCCCGCCTCCTGCCACTGCACCGACACTGCTTGGAAAGAACCTTCTGTGCTTCCAGCAAAATTCTCCCCTCTCTCTCCCACATCGACTCTCTTTCCCTCTGCTCATCATCCCCACTGCAATTCCTCCCATCCCCAGCCAAAAACCAAAACCAAACAGCTCTGAGTCCCTCATCCCCTTCCAGCTACCACGGCACTTCGAAGGAATTGTTTATATCCATCATCTCTACCTCCTCCACTCCCACTCTCTCTAGAACCCTTCTACTCCTGCGAATGCTTTTGATCAAGGTCACAGTGAACTACATACAGTCCCGGTGGTCAATTCTTGGCCATTATCTCAGCACAGTTTGATTTTTTTTCCCTCCTCTTCGTTTGGCTCTGGGACATCCCTCCTCCTGACTGCTCCTCCGTCCCCTTTGCTTTCTCCTCATCCCCCCAAGCTCCTTTAGTTTAGAAAACGCCTTCCCAGTGAGGCTCTCGTGGCACAGTATGGTAACTACATACAGTCCCGGTGGTCAATTCTACACCATACACCCCACCCCTGCTCTCCACGCTCTTACCCTCCTGGACACACTACCCATTGGAACTACTCTGCTGTTTACTGTGCGCCCCTCCCCCAGAATAGAAAGTCCCTGAAGGCAGGGGTTTTTGTCCCTTCTGCTCACCATTTATCCACAGTGCCCAGAAGAGGGCCCGCACTTTTTTGAATTATTGATTTGAGAGAGAGAGAGAGAGAGAGAGAGAGAGAGAGAGAGAGAGAGAGAGAGACATTGATGTGTTGTTCCACGTATTTATGCATCATTGGTTGATTCTTGAATGTGCCTTGAGTGGGGATCCAACCCGCTACCGTGGCATATGAGCACAACGCTCTAACCAACTGAGCTACCCACGCAGGGCTGGCCCCGCACTTGTTAATAAAAGCTGTTGAATGAATGAATGGCTTTGGAATGAAATGTAACATTGAAACCCTGGCCACGCATTTAATATGTAGTGTGTGGACAGCTTTGCAAGTCTTGCAAAGTGTCATTTATCAAATTCCAGTCGGACGACAAATGTGTATTTTCTAAACGATCCCCCCATTGCCTGCTGCATCGTCTGATACGTTTCCTTTGGGGTGTGGCTGCTGTGTCCCGTTCCTGTTCCCATCCCCTTAGGTTTCCTGCACAAATCCCTGCAGGGCTTGTGGCGAACACTCTGGGCAGGACTCTAGGCAAGTGACCAGCAGAGCCTCTGCTTCCAGCCCCTCAGAGTCCCCCCCCCACACACACACACCCCGCCCCCTGCAGTCCTGGAATAAGGGCTCCCGCCCGCCACCCCGTCTGTTCGGATTCCTGGGTTCTAGAGAGCTCGGGGCGTCACAGAGACATCCCAAGCCGCGCTGCTGGACATCCACCTTAAAGGGGTGCACACTGGCCTCCCAGTGGCAGCAATTAGGGCGGCCAGCTGGGAGCAATGGGCCCCAGTCCCACCTTTGGCCGCTGAGTGATTGCAAATACTGGTTCACTTCCCTGTGGTTGAGTGTCTGGCCTCCTCCGAGGCGGCAGCCACTGTTGGCCTGGCCTGTGGAAGTGCTTGGCCCTTTCCGTTCTGGGTACCTTCCTGGTAGAGTCTTTGCTGTAGATATTTTGCTGCAGACATTTCTCCATATAACTAATTGGCTGAATTTAGGCAATTTTACAACAACAACAAAAAGATAAATAACTGGTTGACAGTTGTTATTTTCTCTGTTTTGGCTTCATCTCTTTATTGACAAATCAATCAACTGCCATAAAAAAGAAAATAACCGTTTGGCAGTTTGATTTTGACTTTTTTGTTTGTTTGTTTGGTTTCATTTCTCCATCGATGAACCGATCAATTGCCTTCCACACACAGTGCATCTAAGCTAGTTGTCATTTTGTCTCATTTCTCCACGACAAGCTCTCCCAGTTCCACCCATTGCTGTACTGTCTGTGAGTGTTATCCCTCTGCACAGTCTGTGCAGAGAGAGGAGGCGTGGCTGGGTCTTAACATAGCGTTTCTTCCAGGGGAGGAAGATGGGCCCCCAGGGTGGGTTTCTTGTGTTCAAACACACTGATTGGAGGAGAGAAGCGAGGCCCTGTGCGGGCACAGATCTGAACCCACATCTCCCACAGAACGAAGACACGTGCTCAGTGACAATCTCCAAAATAAAATCCGTTACCTGCGCAGCACTGCCATGAAGCCGTGTATATTCACACTTCGGCTATATTCACATAAAGCCCCTTCAATTTTATGTTCTTTTATTTGTCTTGCTTTTAACTTTTTTTACTGCAAAATTGCCTTGTAACCATTAGTTATGCGGTGAAAATGTTTAGGGCAAAAGGGCTTTTGACAGAGATGTTTCCGGCAAATAGCTTACGGGGAAGATACTGGGAATGCGGCCTTTTCCATAGGCGACGGGCGGCCTGACCCTTCCGAGGCCGCCACCCTCGCTGCCCCTCGAAAGGGCAGTCTCTCCTCGGTTCCTCCTTTCCCGCAGTGAAGGTTCTTGCCAGCCTGGGTTTCTGAGGCCCAGAAGCCCGCTCTGTAGATGTGGCTCCCCGGCTACTGCTGACCTCACTCACTCCCAAGTGCGTGTGCAGGGCTTCCAAGATGCCTTGCACCTTGGCCGGGTACTGAGCGAGAGCGGGCCCTGGGCTGCGACTCTCCTTCTGGCCCCGAGGTCTCGGCCCGGGAGCCCAGCCCCAGGCCCTCCCCAGCTCTGCCCGGTGCCACCTCCAGTGCTTGCAGGGATGTCCACCTGGCACAGGGATGTCCCTGGAGTTCTTCCCTCACAGCTTCCCCCCTGCAGCTGCCAGCAGAGCTGCCCCCCTCCCCCCCTTTCCCCCCCAGAGCCAGTCCCCACGAGGCCCCATCCTGGTGCAGCCGCACGTTTCCATGATGCAGGTTTTCTGAGCTGGACGGGCTCCTCCAGGAGGGGACGGGATCGCTGAGCCTGAACACACCGCACATGTGTTGGGCTTCCAGAGCTCCTGGCCCTTCTCCCTCCTTTCTCTGCTGCTGCCCCAGCCTCTCTCCCTGGGGTTATCTCACCTCTACCAGTACTTCCCCCTCCTATCGCTCCGGCATCTCACCAAAACCCTGTGGTTTTCTCTCACCCGGTAGATGGTTTCACGAAGGCCTCTCACGACACCAGGCAGAGAACTCGCTCATGGCCAAGGAGGTTGGTTTCTTCGTCATCCGGGCCAGCCAGAGCTCCCCCGGGGACTTCTCCATATCCGTCAGGTACTGCCATCCCCACAGCGCCCTGACCCGGGCCTCTAAGCCGTGCAGTGACCTCTTGCACGTGACCTATGGCTCAAGAGCGTGGAGGCCAGGGGCCTGGGCACCTTATCGGCTGTGATGCTATCCACTTCCTTCCATGGCACGTGCATGTAACTCCTAGGAACATTGGTTTGTGGCCAAAAACATGTATACATTTCTCCGCCTCCCCCTCTAGCGCAGGAGCTTCCGGAAGGATGGGATTTTTATCTCCCTCATCTCTGTGCCTTGAACAGTGCCTGTGCCCAGTGCGTGCTTGATGAGAATTTGTGAAAAGACGTGGGGAGAATTGTCCACCTTCTTCCTGAGATCTAAACTGTCACCTTTTACTGCAGATGGAGGTCTGAGGCGGGCTCAGAGAGGAATGAAAACCCCCAGTCATCACCACAGGGCCCATATGGAGTGGAGGATGGCCGCACCAAACGCCCACAGCAGGCAGCAGGGCAGAGCCGAGGCGGGCAGGGGTGGGAGACTAACAGCAAACTCCCTCCCGGGCAGCACCCAGAGGAAGTGACTCAGTCCAGGCACAAGCCTGACACGGCCCCACACTCAGAAGCCCCCAGCCTGAACACCGCGTGTGGTCAGCATGGCCGGGGCTGCCAGTCACGTTTCAGACGTGACCACGTGTGAAAGTGCAAGCATTCGTGCTGATGGCAGCACGGGAGGGTGACAGCCTGCACGGCGAAGCCTGCTGTCAAGCTGGTTGACAGGAAACGCTAGTCTGGATCACTCAATGTATTTTGAAAGGCCCGCAGCCTGAGTACAAACTCCGATCTCAGCTAATAAACTGAGGTCACTTTACTATTTAGGAAGAATGGATATTTTAAGGGCTCGGTAGGAGGGGCAGACACATAATGGGTCAGTGATTTGTCTGTGCACGTGCCTCTCGAGTGCTCAAACAGAGCTTGGGCTTGTGTGCATTGCCCTTGGAGTCTCGCTTAAACTCTTTAATTTTCCTTTCTTTTTCGCAGCCCGGACAGTGATATATTCTAGGTCAGGCCAATAGCGATGTCTCACAATTCTTTTATTTTATTTTTTTAATATTTTATTGATTTTGTACAGAGAGGAAGAGAGAGAGATAGCAAGTTAGAAACATCAATGAGAGAGAGTCATCAATCAGCTGCCTCTTGCACACCCCTACTGGGGATGTGCCCGCAACCAAGGTTGCTCTTGACCGGAATTGAACCCGGGGCCCTTCAGTCCCCAAGCCGACGCTCTATCCATTAAGCCAAACCGGTTTCGGCCGTGATGTCTCACAATTCTAAGCTTGTTACATCTCTTAATGAAATTTTGCTCTATCAATAAACCTTACAAGCCTAACCTAGTTCTTAAGAGCCTTGATTATGGAATGGACCAAGTGAGTTGTCGGACTGAAGGGCACCTCCTGGTGCATGAAGTTGGCTCTGGCCTCTTCAGCCGGGAACTATGACTTCCAGCTCCTTGACTGAAGTAGATTCTATAAAGCAGTCAGCCCTGCCTTCCTCCAGAGCCTTCCCCTGCTCCGGAGGCAATGCAGCTCCTTGTAACAGTGATCATTACCATAATCATGATCTCATCGTCTGCTGAAAAGTAGGGTAACGCATTCCAGAGTGAAGTCATTTTTTTAATTTATTTACACATTTGCTTTCTGTCATGGGCACAGATAATTAAGAGCTAATTGTAGTTCTGTCACTTAGCATTTTGATAAGCATCTGAAACACTAGACTTCAGCCTTTTCTCTGCCCCTCCCAGAACACGCTCTCTCCACCATAATCCTGGCATCCTCCCACTCCCAGCTCACGAGAGTGAAAGGGTTAAAGTTTCTTACTCTGTGGTCTTTGGCCAGAGGCATGGATGAATAACATACCCCAGGGACAGTCCCTCCTCTTCACCCCAGTGTGAGGGGTAAGGACTGTGAGCTGAGCCAGGGGATGTTACAGGAAGAAAACGTCTGTGACTGGCCGTGCCATGATGGCACAGTGTTGGTTACCACTCCAGAGCCACCACAGCAGAGCTCACGGCATGGGTTCACCTGCCACAGCAGAGCCCAGCACGTAAATGAACCCGATGATCAGAATCCCTGTCCCCTCTGAGCACAGACCACTAACTCCATCCCTAATGAAGCTCCACTCTCCATCCTTCAGATGTGTCTTCACTCTCCAACACTCTAAATTCTTGAATTTTCTGCTGGGTCAGGCAATTGGCAGTATTAACATCAGTTAATTTTTAGATAGAAATGTGTGTCCATTTCACACATAAACTTGATATTCTAAAGAGAGTGACTTGGAGCTATTAGTAAAGGTCCAGTCCTCCCTTTCACAATGAATAAAATCCAATCTTTCCAACCCACTACAAATGTGCCCCTGCCCTGTGAGTCCAGCTGGTGCTGAAAGATGCCCATCTAAAGGAGTTGGCATGTATACATTGTGTGGCAGGCAGGCAGCAGAGACCCGGGGTTCTTGCCTCAGCTCTGCCATTCACTCGTGGGGACCTTGACCAAGGCCCTCCACCTCTGAGCCTCAGCACCCTCAGCTGTAACATGGAGACATGAGGATAAACAATCTCTGAAGGCTGTTCCAATGAAAACATCACAATTCTAGGTGATACTTCTTTCCCCAAAAGCTCAAAATGCTTTGCAACCTTATTTATGCACAACATAAACCGAGACCGAGGTAGAGACCAAGCATGACATACTTCTCATGGTAGGTCTGACTCTCCAGAGCAAGCCTGTGGGCTTGAAGGAGCTGGGTCAAAGTATTTCTGATAACGGAAAGATAACAAGGGCTTAAAAAACCAGAGTCCTTAGCATAGTACATTTCTCAGGGGTGGCCATATTTCAGATAAACATAGTGGGAAAGCCTTGACCTCATAGTTTTTAAAGCACTGGGCACATTTTTTCTTGTAAAAGGTCGACTCCAGTGTCAGAAGACACATTACCTTCTGCTCTTGTGCAGCCTGTGTCCTGAACCGCCCTTTTCCGCTAGAGCTTGACTGGCCTAACCCACCTGCCTAGTGATGAGCTCCCCATATCGCCATGTCCTGCCCTAACAGAACTCGCTTGGCATCCCCAGATGCCATCAACCCCGAAGGCGGGGACACTGTCACCGTGTAACACACAGTTTGGATTTGCCTTGATCTCTAGGCACGAGGATGATGTTCAGCACTTCAAGGTCATGAGGGACAACAAGGGTAACTACTTCCTGTGGACAGAGAAGTTTCCATCCCTCAACAAACTGGTGGACTACTACAGGACGACGTCTATCTCCAAACAGAAGCAGATCTTCCTGAGGGATAGGACGCGAGAGGACCAGGTCAGCCTATCTCAGGATTGAAAAACAAATGTTTTCATATATATATATATTATTGATTTCAGGGAGAGGAAGAGAGAGGGAGAGAGGGAAGAAAACATCAATATGAGAGAGAATCATTGATTGGCTTCCTCCTGCATGTCCCCTAATGGAGATTGAGCCTGCAACTGGGCATGTGCCCTGACTGGGAATAGAACAGTGACCTCCGGTTCATGGGTTGACCCTCAACCACTGAGCCACACCGGCCAGGCCCACTAGGGATTTTAGGCAGCTAGAGTCTTACATGAACCACCAAGACGATGTATTTGATGGGCAGGTCCTCTGAGGATTCTGAAAGGTAGAATCACTGCGAAGTCAGATCTCAGTTTAAACCCCTAGCCAGGTGACTTTGGAAAGTTCTGCCATCCTCAGTTTCCTCATCCAAGAAATCAGGATGACAGTGATAGCCACCTCCCAGGGTGGGTGTGAAGGAGAGAAGATAATGCGTCCCCTTCCCGTACATCACTCCTAACCATGCAGCCCTCGGTGCAGTGGGGCTCTTACTGTAGACAGACACCACTGCATCAGTTCCGGCCCAGAGCTGGAGCTTTGTGACAGGATTTGGGGAGGGGAGGAGGCATCGGAGTGGAAAACTTAGTGTAGTACAGGATTTATAGTCCTAGAATTCCTGCTCTTGGGAAATTTGGAATGTAGAGACTTGTTTTCACAGAAAATGCATCAGACAAGACCTGGCTTTAAATCCTGATTTCACACTAGCTAAAACCTTTCTGCCCTGGCCGGTGGCTCACTTGGTTGGAGTGTTATCCCGTGCTCCTAAAGATTGTGGGTTCGATTCCCACAGGGTACGTACTCAAGTTGCAGGTTTGATTCCCAGTTGGGGACACATACAGGAGGCAACTCATTGATGTTTCTCTCTCACATCAATGTCTCTCTCTCTACCTATCTATCTATCTCTCACTCTCATTACCCCTCTTCCTCTCTCTAAAATCAATAAAAATATATCCTCTGATGAAGAATTAAAAAACATTTATAAAAACAAAAAAGAAACATTTATGAATATATTGTAGAATGGGCTGTTATGAGGATTAATTGAGAAAATGCCTGTATAGTTATAGCACTTGCCACAGATTCTGGTCCATAGTAGGTACAATGAAAATACTAACTTGTCTCCCATGAGTAAATTCACAGACACACACACACACACAACTTATAAAATGATTTTCAAAGGAAAACACATGAGAGAGAGGTCTGGGAAGAAGCGTTGACCGGAGTAGCTGAAATCCAGGGACGGGCTCTCTGAAAGGCATTGAGACTTTGAGAGCAGCACATGCTGTGGGGAAACAAAGGAAACCGTCCCTTTCAAGTAATTGGCTGCTTTTCAGCCTGAGAAGTTACCATCAAAGGAGAAAAGGGTGTTCCCACCAAGTGCACACACAAGTTCAGAAAGAAAAACAAAGGTTGGCCAAGACCTTGTGAGTTATTGTAACCAGGAAACGGACAGGGTATTAATTTACTAAGATGTGCATGCAGACATAGAGAGGCCACATGAAACTGCCCTAAACTGGATTCGATCCATTCGTATCTGTAAAGTGCTTAGAACGGGGCCTGGCATATACTAAACCCCTCTACAACTGTTACATAAAAATAACGGTCTCTGATTCCTGAGGTGGAGACCCTTGAGAAGAAGGCCTTGTGCCTCCCAGCATGCCCTGGGCAGGCCTTGTTTCCATGGTGCTGCAGGAGTGTTGTGTTTGTGTCTCATCACCAGGCTATAAATGACAGTTCAGAATCATGCAAAGTCAATAGCAGAGCTTATCTGGAGGGTAGCATGTCCGGCATTGTGGCAACATGCGATAAGGAGGGCTGGCATTGTGTCAGTAAGAGAATGTTTAAGCTTGATTACACAGAGAGGAAACAAGCCCACTAGGAAGGGACTAAATGGAGACCATATGGAAAGTGTCAGTCTGTGGCCCAGAGAGCTGACATCCCCACAGAAAGAGAATATGAGGGTCTGAACCATGGGTTCTCTCTAAGATGCCCCCCAACCTGTCAGCGGTTTCTCAGGGCTGTCATGAGCAATCTGGGAACAGCTGCCTGAAGGGTGGGGGAGAGCCAGGAGACACGGGAGGACGATGGGTCATCCTTGTTCTCTCCCAGGGTCGCCGGGGCAGCAGCCTGGACCGATGGCCCCAGGGAGGCCCACATACCAGCGGGGCTGTGGGAGAAGACATTCGGCCTGCGATGAACCGGAAGCTGTCGGATCACCCACCACCCCCTCCATCACAGTATCCCCCGGCCCCACCGCCGGCGCAGCAGCGGTACCTGCAGCATCACCACTTTCATCAGGTATCTGGAAGGGATGGAGTGGCACAGTGAGGTGGGGGCAGGCCCTTCTCTCCCTCACCCCCACCCCCACACTGAGGCTCAGGTCAACTTGATCCCACTGCCACTTACTGCGTGAGAACTCCCCGAGAGGCTGGAAACAGCCATAGCAAATAAACACCATGGTTCTGTGGGGTCCTGGGCTGCCGGCCTGGCCCCACCTCAGCAGGTCTCACAAAGTTCATAAAGAAGACGCTAGGACCCTAGCCAGTTTGACTCAGTGGATAGAGCGTATGTCTGTGGACTGAAAGGTCCCAGATTCAATTCTGGCCAAGGGCACATGTCCAGGTTGGGGGCTTGATCCCCAATGGGGGGGTGTGCAAGAGGCAGCCAGTCAACGATTTTCTCTCATCATTGATGTTTCTATCTCTCTCCCTCTCCATTCCTCTCTGAAATTGATAAAAACATATTTTTAAAAAAAAAAAAAAAGAAGAAGATGCTGGGGCCCCAAGTGGTAGAAATATAATATGGGAACTGGTTTGGCAAAGAAGCCTGTGTGAATCAAAACGGCTCCCTGCCTGAACACACACACACACACACACACACACACACACACACACACACACACACAATCACACACACACACACACACTCTCTCACACACACTCACACACAAACACTCACACACACACATACAGTACACTCACACACACTCTCACACTCACACACACACACACACTCACACACACACTCACACACACACCCTTTCTTACCTAAGGACTCAGGGAACAACTGTTTCATTTTCCCATCAGCAACATTTCCAATCTGTTCACGTCCCTCACCCCACCGGGCTGTGGCAATCTACAAGAAAGACGGATTAACACCTGCTGTGGAGCCTGCCTTACTTACTTACTTATTTATTTACTTCCCCCGCCTCGCCCAGATGGGATTTGAGGCGGCTTACCAAGATGGACAATACAGCCGGATAACATCGTCCGTAAATTCCTTAGCGGGGCATACAGAGTCCTTTGTGAGCTGCGTATATCTGTTCCCAGCCTCTCTCCCGCTACCTCCCTCTGCTGCCCACACACACACATTTCAGCGATGCCCACTGCCTTCAGTTAACCGGCATGCCTGTTGTTTCTTCTTTCATGCCTTCGAGACTTGTTATGTGCTGTGCCCTCTGCCTCAGACCCCCTTTCCTGGCGCGCCCCCTTAAGCTGCCATTCAAGCATCACTTCCTCTGTGAAGCCCTCCCTGGTTACCCGGGCAGACTTAGACATTCATCTCCCTGTTCACTTACCTCTTACATGTGCATGATTCCCCCTCGGGACTGACGCCCATGAAGACAGGGACCTTCTCTTCCCAGCCCCGTGTCCCCATTGCTGAGAGCAGTATGGAGCGCTTGAATAATTGGGGCCTGCCATCATCTTTGTCTTCAGAATCTTAGGTGCCTTTTCATCCCTCTGCCCCTCACCATCTTCTAGGGCAGTGGTTCTCAACCTTTCTAATGCCGTGGCCCTTTAATCCAGCTCCTCATGTTGTGGTGACCCCCAACCATAACATTATTTTCGTTGCTACTTCATAACTGTGATTTTGCTGCTGTTATGAATTGTAATGTAAATATCTGTGTTTTCCGATGGTCTTAGGCGACCCTGCTAGCCGTTCTCAACCTGTGGGTTGCAACTGTAGAGCCTAAGACCATCAGAAAACACAGATATTTACCTTGTGTTTCATTAACAGTAGCAAAATTACAGTTATGAAATAGCAAGGAAAATAATTTTATGGTTGGGGGTCACCACAACATGAGGAGCTGTACTAAAAGGCCGCGGCATTAGAAAGGTGGAGAACCGCTGCTCTGTAGGGTTTATTGCCATCATCAACAAGCATTACTGGAACCCGGGCCGTGTTTATCCAAGCAAGGCACTGGGGGAGACAGTGAGGGGTGCCGGCGTGATGACAGGTCCTCTCTTGCGTCCGTTTCTAGGACCGCCGTGGAGGCAGCCTGGACATAAACGACGGACACTGCAGCATGAGCATGGGCAGCGAGATGAACGCCACCCTCATGCACCGGAGGCACACGGACCCAGTGCAGCTGCAGGTGGCCGGGGTGCGTGACCTTCCCTCCGGGTCAGTGGAGGAGTGAGGGGGGCCATTAGAGAAACGGTTGGTCTTCAGGAAAGATGCCAAACTGCACGGAGCTCACACAGAGGGAGTGGGAACCCAGATAGTGACGGTGGGGGGCGTGTTCCCGGCGGGGGTGGTCCCAGCCCTTGTTCTCGGCTGGCCGGCGGCCTTGCCCTGGCCTTCTCCCATTTCCTGGCTCTGGTTCTGGTGGAGGGAGATGCGTTACCGGGATCCCTGCTCCATCCTGACTCAGGGCTGTTTTTTTGGACACTGCCGTTCTGCTTGTCACGTGAACAAAGTAGAAAGAGCCCCTGTTGGTGTAAGGAGAGTCGTCCTCAAGGGTTCTCTTGGGGCCTCAGAGACTCTGTCAGCCCAAGTCCTGAGCCTCGGCGATGACTCTTGGACTCGGAGCTCAGGGCCGTGCAGCCGCATCTGCTTCCCATTGCTGTGGGGCGAAATGTCTCCCGAGAGGCACGTCAGCCTTTAAGGCAGGCCGCTCTATGTCAAAGCCAGCAGATTCCCTGCTGCGTGGCGTGGCTCGGAGGCCGCCAGCTCATAGGACCCCTGTGACTCCCCCCACAGCGCGTGCGGTGGGCCCGGGCGCTGTATGACTTCGAGGCCCTGGAGGACGACGAGCTGGGGTTCCGCTCCGGAGAGGTGGTCGAGGTCCTGGACAGCTCCAACCCGTCCTGGTGGACCGGCCGCCTGCACAACAAGCTGGGCCTCTTCCCGGCCAACTACGTGGCGCCCATGATCCGGTGAAGCCCTTCCTGGCCGGAGGCTCATGTCTGAGCGGCCGGCAAGAAGCAGCAAGGAGGAAAGGCTGGAAGTGCATGTGTGTGTGTGTGTGTGTGTGTATGTGCGCACGTACCCACATACATGCCTATGGGTGCACACATTTTATAATAGTAATTTATTGGCAATTTAGTTGGTTAATTAGTTGATATGAAAGGAACTCAGGTGGAAGCTTATATTCATACTTGTTTTTCTGTCCCCCAAAGGGGTGTGTAGGAGGTGGGGCGCTTGGGAGAGGTGGGGGCAGGGAAACTGAAGTCCTTCCTCTCCTAAAGATGGCACCACGTCCCCCTGGTCTTGGGAATTTTCAAGGCGCTGAGCAGAGACCCACACCCGGAGCTGGACGCAGAACCACAGGCTCGGGCAGGACTCGGCCGGCGTGTTCGGGCTCACCTGCACGCCCACTCACCCCGAGGGTTTGCAGGGCGGCCTCCCGCCTGGTCTCCAGGGAGAGCGTGCTGGATTGAGAATTGAGGTGCAGCCACTCAAGTCTGAGCTGGCACGGCTGGGTGTGAGGCCTGGGCACGGCCGGCACCCTCCTCTCCATCAATGGCTGCTCCTGAGCTGCCGCTCTCCTGCGGCCCGCGTGGACACACGGGGACATCGTGCGGGGCCAGGCGCTGGGGAGTGAAGGGGCTGTCACACACCTCCCCGGGGCGGGCCAGGTGTACACTCTGTGTCCTGGCTTCTAAGAAAGTGCTTCTCAGAGAAGCCCTGGCCCAGGATGCAGGCAGAGGTCTTGTTCTGTGGATACAGATGTCTCTTCAGGGCTCTGTTTTCTGTCTTGGTTTTCTGCGTTTTGAAGATGCCTTGCCCAGCGGCACAGAGAGAAGCCCACGCCACAAGAGCGAGGACTAGTGACTGGCTAATTGGTTGGTTGAACATGACCCTGGGTGGGGCCTGGATTTCAGATGAGCTTCCTGTTCCCCTGGCCGTTGGACCTGCGCTGGCACCTTTCCTCCACCAAGAGCTGCACCTGGGGACCCTCCCCTCTCAGCATCTCCAAGCGGGCGGTCTCCCAGGCCCCCCCCCCCCCCCCCCCCCCGGGCGTGAACAGACCCGCCAGCGGGGAAAGGGGCCCTGGGGGCGGACGCTCAGTGCCCCGGGGTAGCAGCACACCTCTGCCTGAGGGCGCCTGGAAGGGTGTGTGTGTGTGTGTGTGTGTGTGTGTGTGTACGTGTACGTGCTGAACCAGGAAGAAAGGGTGGGCTGAGTGTTAGTGAGGGGCATGTGCGGTGAGGGGGGTCTGTTCCTTCTTCCTCAGTCCTTGCTGCTCTAAGGAGGGACGGGACAGCCATCACTGGAGGGGATAGAAACAGAAGAACGAGTTTGTGACTCAGAAGTAACTGTCGGTATAATGCGATTCTCTGATCCCCATGAGACCTTTAGAGACAAACAGGACATGAAGGGACACGTGGTGGGCTGTGGGAGGGGAGAGAATAGCCTGAGAGAAGCGGAGAGGCAAGCGTGCATGAGGGGCGTCTTGTAGCCTCTGAAAATGAAAGCACAGGAAGGAAAAGTAACGAAGACATTTCAAAAGATGAAGGAGCCGGTGAGAGGCGCAGAGGGAGGGGAGGGAGCCAGAGGTTAAGTGGGGCAGGCCGGGAAGACGCTGGAGTCAGCAGGCAGACGCTCCGGAGGAGGGCGAGGCGGAGCAGGTGGGAGGAGGAACTGGAGCGGAGAGATGAAGCCAGCAGGTAGGGGCAAAGGCACCGCAGGAATGAAGACAGAGCAGAGGCAGAGGGGACTCAGCTTTGTGGTGCGAGGCAATGGAAACGCGGTGTGGAAAATAAAAGCCAGAATTAATGTCTGATTTTACAGCATTTACAACTCATGCTTCAAACAGCCCTCAAACTGGATCCGTCTGTCTGATCGTGTGAGGACCAGCCCCGGAGAGGACAGAATCAGAGGATTTGGTTCTGGCCTGGATTTCGGGCCTTGAAACACTTTCCAAGAAAGCCGTGATAAGACAAGGGCCCTTGTTTTGTGGGGCTGCCTGCTCACACACACAGCACAGGAGGCTGGCCACACAGTATGGGCAGAGCTTTCAGAGCCCCTGGGACTGGGCCCTTTCTCCCCCCAGAGGCCCCTGTGGGAGTCGTTTTAACTGAGCACCAAAACCGCCTGCTCATTAGATGCTCAGCTCAGAAGGAAGGTGCCACCCTGGCCCCCCAGAGAACAAGAGCCTTGGGGACCACTCTGAGAGGACAAGGCCCCACACTGTCTGCGTCAGGGGAGGGAGCTGGAGCCCCTGCGAGTGCGTCCAGTAGCATCCCAGCCCCAGGGCGCGGCCACCAGTGCCCCGGGCCGCACAACCAGGAAGCAGCACACTGCCTCTGAACGCAGCTGCAGTGCCCTGTGGGGCTTGGGAGCAGGGAACTTCCAGCGAAAATCCAGTTCCTGTCGGACCAGTTGGGTTTCACCAAAGGCATGCCGAGTTCCTCGGAGTTCCACAAGCCGAGGCTCGCTGGTTTCCAACGCCTGGCACCTGCCCTGCCCACCCACTTTTAACGGCCTTGGGGTGAGCTAAGGCTGGTGCTTCTCAAAATAAACGTGCTGTGAGTTGCCTGGAGCATGTGTTAAGACGCAGGTCCTGACCAATCCTGCTTTCGGCCAGCCTCAGAAATGACGTTGCGTGGCCACGGCCCACATGGGAGCACAGGGCAGAGGACTTGTCAGTGAGCTAAACAGCTACTTGGACCTGGATCCCTTTTCTAGGGACGTTAGAGCACCTCTCCTTTTTGCTAACAAGTAAGCCACTTGGGCTGTGGGACAGAGACATGATTCAGAACTGTCATCATGACATCACATTTGGCTGCCCAGGCGACGTATTATTACAGCATCTTCATCTCCATCAGGAAGTCAGGAAATTTTAGGGGGAGGGGCATTCAGGTGAAGCACAAACTGGGATTTCCGAATGGTAATGATTCTGAGCGTGAGCAAAGGTTGTGGTTGTGAAAGCCTTCTCAGGAAATCTTTAAATCGATTCTCGTCCTCGGGTGTGGGCCTGCTGGGCGGCAGGGGAATGGCCTTGTGACATCCTTAGGTCTGAGCCAGCCCAAAGCAAAACAGGCCACATGAGAAGTGTACGGCATGGCCAGGACGCCGCCATTTGTCTGAAGTCTACAGTTCGGCTGCTCTAGCAAGGCACGGGCATGAGAAAAACATCGTGTCGGTTCTTTCTTTAAATACTGCTCAGCTCCTTCACGTCTCTCCCTGCCCACAGCCATGCCGGACCTTTCTCCCTCCGGCAACTGAGCCAGCCTCCGCCTTTCTCCCTGCTGCCCTCTTGCTCCTGCTCCCTTCTACACATGGCTGACAGAATCTGACTGCATCTTGCCCCTTGCACTTGGGTTAAAAATGCAAAGTACTAGCGTGGCCCTGTGAGGTCTGGCCCCGCCTTCCTCCCCAGCCCCCTCAGTGCCTCTCCCCTCCTTCCCTTCATGCTCCTGCCCCACTGGCCTTCGCTCAGCCCCCAGATGGCCAAGGTGTGTCCTCACGTCCTTTGCACCCGCTGTTCCCTCTATCTGGAACGCATGCCCTGTTCTTCCCCTGGCTGATTGCCATGCGTCTCCAGGTCTTGGTTTAAATGTCACTTTCTCAGATTGTCCTTTTCTGGCCCCTAATCTAAAACCGTCCTTCCCATTGCCAGGGGTGGGGTACCTTGTTCCTGCCAAGGGCCACTTGGATATTTATAACCTCTTTCACAGCCATACCAAATGATCAACGTAAGAATCGGCCTGCTGTACTTGGTCAAACATTTCACTCACCCCTATGCCTTGGCAGGGCCAGACCACAGGATGTCTCGGGCCTTACAGGGCCCGTGGGCGGGACTTCCTGCGCCTGCATTAGACCGCCTCGTGGTGCCGGGGCTTTTCCTGAGTCGCCCTAGATGATGGCACCAGACTGGCTGTATGACTGTTAGACTGTAAGCTCCCTGGGGGCAGGGGTCACCTCTGTTTTGTAAGCTGTTGTCTGCCCAGCATCTAGCACTGTGCATGGCATACAGAGGCTCAATAAATATTTGTCTAATAAAGGATGCGGCAGTGGCTGTCAAGACCCAGGCTACAGGGGATATTAAAAGATACACATCTTAAATGACCAGATCATTCCATAAACATTTCTTGAGGTAGTTAAGGAACAAGAATGCAGTGTGAGGGAGCACCATTCCCCAGCTTTTCCCAAGTCAAAATGCCTATGTAGTCAGACACACACACACACACACACACGTGGTGTCTGTGTCTCACACACACACACCCTCCCACCCACCCTCCTGTGTGGATTTCCACATGCAGATGAAGCCAGCACGGCAGTGGGGTCAGATTCCATGCTATTCACAGAAGCCAGACCCCACATAATGAGGCCCTGTGTCTGCTGTGGGACAGAGGCCCCAGCCAGCCTGATCTGTGTCATAAATCCCAGCAACTCACGGAGCCTCTGCAGCACAGGCTCTCTCAGGTATGGCTCTACCCAGGGTCATTGGTGAGCACATTCTGCTTGGGCAGTTCCATTTCCACAGGTCAGAATTCCCCGGGGTGGGCAGCGAGGGGCGCCTCCCTCCCCCTGCTCTGTCTGACCTGGTTATGGGGAGTTGCTAGGTAACCGCTAGTCAGCCTCTGCTTCCCATGCCGAAAGGAGGGTTGGTTGCCATGGCAAGTCCAGATGAGATGGGGCGTGCAGGGGAAAGGGAGTGCTGGCCAGGAGTTCTGCAGCCTGGATTCTGCCCTCACCCCCTCTGGGTCACTGGGCCTGAGGGCCGTCTCTTCACCCCTCTGGGCCTGAGTTTCCTTACAAGTGAAATAAAGGAGAGGCTGGGTCTCTTCTTGCTCTAAATCGCTGATGTATGCAGCCAGTGTGAACTAGTCAAACATCAGAGTCCCATGCCCCCAGTGGAGAAGGCCTCAGCTTTGAGTCAGACAGACCTGGGTCCCCGTCCAGACTCTACCACTGACTGTGTGAGCCTGGACAAGTCACATGACCTCTCTGAGGTCACGTAGAGAGCCAGAGCCAAAAGCACAGAGTTGTCATGAGAAGAAAACACAGGATAGGAATTGCTTGGTAAGGGCCCAGCCATGGTGGGCAGCCCTACCATGCCTTCCAGATGGCCGAAGCAGCCCTCTTTACCTGGCCACCCACCCCCAGGGACATGTTCCTACAAAGGCCTGCCCCCTTTGTCACTCCCTGTCCTATGGTCAGTCCTGCTCAAGGAAAGTCTCTGCGTTGGTGAAACCAGTAACTTGCTGCTGGAGTAAATCTGCTTGGGGAGATGCCCCCTCCCTGGGCCTCGCCCTCCCTCATCCAGGCGATGGCTGCCTGTAGGGGTGGCCAGCAGGGATCAGTGCTGAGGTGTTGGCCAAGTAAAAAGGAAAGATTCTTTGTTTAAATGTATTTTTCAAGTACGGTTGACGTATGTCTAGTTATGGACGTACAACATGGCTAGACATGTGCATACCTTACAGAGCAATCTGCTGATGATGCCAGTGCCCACCTGGCACCCTACACAGGTAGGACAATGTCATTGACTGTATTCCAGAGGCTGAGCTTCACATCCCCATGGCTACTTCCATCACTGGCCATTTGTGCCTCTTAATCCCTTAGATCTCGTTCACCCACTCCAGCCCTGCTCCTGCCTCGCAGCCAGCAGCTGCAGCATTCTGGACAAGAGCCAAGACTGGGAAGTAACTTAGGTGTCCATTGATAGATGAATGGATAAAGAAGAAGTGACATGTATATATAATGGAATATTATTCAGCCATTTAAAAAAGTGAAATCTTGGTGTTTGCAACATGAGCAGTCCTAGAGGATAATATACTAAGTTGGTGGTCAGCAAACTGCGGCTCGAGAGCCACATGCGGCTCTTTGGCCCCTTAAGTGTGGCTCTTCCACAAAATACCATGGCCCGGGCGAGTCTATGTTGAAGAAATGGTGTTAGAAGAAGTTTAAGTTTTAAAAATGTGGCTCTCCAAAGAAATTTCAATCGTGGTACTGTTGACATTTGGCTCTGCTGACTAATGAGTTTGCCGACCACTGTA